GGAGGGCGCTAGCTTTGCGTCTCCCTGGTCTGCTGGGGGGAAGCAGCTAGTGCAGGGTTGCCTCACCCCGTTTGTAAGTAGGGATCTGATGTAAGTCGGATCCATGTAACCCGGGGACTGCCTGTATACTCTTATCTTTGTCACAGTTTGCCTTGTAAGACTACTCACTCCACATTCTCATGTGCCTTTGTTTTGTAAAACTTACTTCTAGCACTCCTGGGGTGAACAGAAGTCTCAGAGTACTTCTGCTGAGACTTTGATATGTTAAAGAATAACAATCCACAACTGAACTGTCTAAGCATTCTGTATAAAGGATCAAAAACCCTGTAACTCAGGGCTGACTGCTACGGCTGCCAGCCTGCATGCATGCATAATAAAGTTTTCTCTTCTAGGTTTCTCTCCTGCCTCACTGATTTGATTTGACCTCCAGCCTCGAACCCTTCTGAGGGCTCTGTACCCCAGGGGAGCGAGATTTTCCCCCTCACCGCTTATGCAAATGAAGCCCGGGAAATTCAAATCCCGGGCTTCATTTGCAAGTGCAGTATGCCTACATTACCCCGCTAATTCGAACTAGCGGGGTAGTGTAGACATACCCTTAGAGACTAAGGGCCACATCTCCAGTTGCTGCGCTGGATGGAGATTGATCTTCTGGCATTTGATTTAGCGGGTCTAATAAGGACCTGCTAAATCGAATGCTGAGGATGCTCCCCATCAGCAAGGGCACCCCCTGGCAGTTGGGAGGAGGAAGGGAAGCCGAGAGGAGCGCTTCCTCCCGCCCCCCTCCCGCTGCAGGGATGGTGCCAAGCTCAGTTTTAAGGTAAGTTGACTCAAGCTATGTTATTTATGGAACTGGAGCTGCGTCCCGTAAGCCAACCGTCGGGGTGTAGTATGCCAGCATCACCTCTTTGTGACGATCTCTCCTGGAAGCTTACTGCTGTGCAGCCCACACTGGTAAGGGCATGCCAGCCCTTCCCTCCTGCATAAATAAAAATACTGTTCCCAAAACAGGACCATCCTCTGGACCCCTCTGTGTGGGCCTCGGGTGGTCAGCAGCACCAGACAAGAATGGATTTCTGCAGCAGCTTAGTACCATGCCGAGGTAGGAAAACGGACGGTCGCATGGTACTCTACAGCCACCTCTCTGCTTCCTGTCTGTCGCGGGGTGCTCTCACCCCGCCCCGTTTGGCCCTGAGGTAGAGCCTTTACACCCATGGGCCCTGAGGCCTAGTCCACAGCAAACACTGGCCTTGAGTCCTAGTCCAGGCTCTGGGAGGATGGGCTAGGGGGGTCCGGGTCCTCCCTCTCCACTGGACCCCAACCCAGAGCCCTATTAGTGGTGGATGGTTCCCAGCACTGGCTCGGTGGGGAGTTCTCCCCAAAATGCACCAAGCGATTTCCTGCCCCCTGCCCTGGGTTGCTTCCTACCCCAGCCCCCTGTCCGACGGAGACCCCACCTGCAGGAACGGTGCGGGTGGTGGCCGTGACGTTGGCAGGCCCAATGTCTGTGGCAACGGCGCAGAGTTTGCCCACCGCAGCTGGGGGGGGCTGTCCCCCGGGGTCGGCGTTGCAGTCAGGCTCAGCCTGTAGCGGTGAGGGCGGCAGGCCCGGTGGTTCCAGCTCCGGCGGCAGGTCCAGACGTGGCTCCGGAGGTCCTCCCTCCCCGGAGGCCAGCCCCAACTGAGCTGTCTCCCTGGCCTTTATACCTGGTCCACAGTTGGAGCATGCCCAGCATGGCTGCAGGGGTGGGGCCTGCTGGCTTCCCCCTTGGCCAGTGCGGGGCTGGACTGCTCCATCACACTCCCCCGCCCTTAAGATGGCTCCCCCAGCGGGTCCTTCCTCTCCCTCCCCCGGGCTACTGCGGGAGAAGAAATCAGCATTCGTATGTCTCCCTCCTCCCCCTAGTCTATTGGCCAACTGGAAAGAGCAAGGCTGCAGCGCAAATACCAGCGCATTATTCAGGCGTTGGTGTCCTTCATGGTTTGCAGCCATCTGAGCGGGACGTGATCAGTTACTAATGTAAAAGATCCCCCTAGCAGGTAATAGCGAAAGGCCTCAATGGCCCACTTTGTTTCCCAGGCCTTCCGTTCAGTCGTTGAGTACTTCGTTTCCCGGGCTGAGGTAAAGAATTGGGTGTTCCTCCCCATCCGTTTCTTGGGATAACACCGCTCCCAGCCCAACCTCCGAGGCATCGATCTGGAGTATGAAAGGTCTTGTGAAGTCCGGCTGAGCCAGGACTGGTTCTCGGAGCAGCTGGTCTTTCAGGACCTAGGATGCCTCTTCCACTTTCCACTCATTCCACTTACCGTGGCCGTTGGTTCTTGGTCAGATTGGTCGGGGGGCCGCTAGGGTGGAAAAGTTGGGCACAAATCTGCGGTAGTACCCCGCCAGCCCTAAAACCTGCCCCTCCTGCCTCTTTGTCGTCGGGGTGGGGTGGTCTCAGAGGGCCTGCACCTTATCCACCAATGGTTTTACTGCTCCTCTTCCCACGGTGTACCCTAGGTACGTCACCTCTCGTTGACCTAGGTAGCAGTTAGCTGGATTCGCCGTCAGCTTGGCTTCTAGCACCTTTTCTAGGTGGTGAAGGTGCTCCTCCCAGCTCCTGCGATACACAACGATGTCGTCGATGTACGCCGCCGCATACCCCTCATGGGGTCTCAGGACTTGATTGATTAGGCGCTGGAACGTAGCGGCGGCCCCATGCAAACCGAACGGCATCATCGTGAACTGATACAGCCCGAAGGGGATTGGAAAAGCTGTGTTTTCTTTTGCTGCCGGGGTTAAAGGAATCTGCCAGTACGCCTTTGTAAGATCTAGAGTGGAGATGTACTCGGCTTTTCCTATTCGCTCGAGCCATCGTCTACCCTGGGCATTGGATAAGCGTCGAACCGTGATATAGCGTTGACTTTTCGGAAATCGACGCAGAACCGTACCGACCCATCAGGCTTAGGGACCAACACGATCGGGCTTCTCCACTCACTCCTGGACTCTTCTATGACCCCGAGGTCCAACATTTCTTTCCGCTCTCGACGTACGGCATCCCACATTTTTCGTGGTAGGGGTCGATTGTTATCTCTCACTTTCTGGCCAGCGATGGTGACAATGTGATGACTCGCTAGTGGGGTTCTCCCTGGCCGGCTCGACAGGACATGCGAGAATCTGGCCAACAGGCTTCCTACCTGCTGTCGTTGTGGCTGGTCCAGGTCTCCCCTGAGATCTAC